AGAAGCACCAGCGGCAGGAGCAGGGCCAGCGCCAGCAGGAGCAGGTAGGGCGCCGCCATGCTGGCCGACCGGGCGCGGTCACGTGGCCCGGCGCTGTGCGCAGCCGCACTCAGCCCCGCGGGGGCAGCGGGCGGGGCTCGGTGCTCCAGCCGGTCCAGGAGCTGCCCTAGCCCGGCTAGCCCGGTCAGTAGGACGGACACGCGCGCAGCCTTCCTACTGCAGGAAAGCTGCGGGCTGGCAGGTGGCTGGTGGTTAAGGCACTGGGCGCCCACGTGGTGGACAGCAGCTGCAGCCCAGGCTTGGGGCCTTGAAAAATCCCTGTAGGTGCGTGCCCGTGTGCCTAAAACCCCAAGAGGAGACTGAAGGATTGGCATGCCCATCCCTGTGGGGGTGATTTGTCACTTTCCCTCCCTCTCTCTCGAGAATGCACACACCCTATGGCAAAAGCCTTAAAAAAGTAATCCCTCACTTTGTTGGGATCTAGGGACTTGTTTTTCTGAGTTCTAAAATAATTTCCAAGTACAGTGAGACAAGAATTTGGATGACGCTGAAAACCCTGATGTTGGGAAAGGAGCCCAGATCCAGAGAGTATGTGCCGTGTGCCTCCACGTGTGGGACCAGAGCTACCACGACCTTAGGAGTCAGTCCCAGAGCCCTGGTGGGGCTGGAGGGCCCCCTGCTCTGAGTCTTCATCTGGGGGCTGGGGGCCTGGTGTGTCCCCATCAGGAAACCATGTTAAGCCACAAACTTGACTCGGTTTTCTCAGGCTGTATGTTGTACTCCCATAAAAGCTTAAAATATGAAAACAGGGACCAGCCCCGGAGCACAAGGGTTAGCACTGTGCAGAGGAATCCGCCTTCCTGACAAGATGGAGAGTCCTAGGGGAAGGGTTGCAGCCTGACCAGGCCCGCTGAGGGGACCCTCCCCTCTCTCCCCCTCACACGCTGCTATGCATGGCCTGTGCCCTCCGCCACGTATGGAGAGAGAGAGGCCCGGCCGCGCCATGTGTGCTGTTAAGTTGCTGCTCCGTAGGCTGAGGCCACAAAGGCCAGGGAGAGATTCCAGCCCTGACCTGAAGAGCTGAGGTGGCAGGATCAAGGCCCAGGAAAACCTCACCTAAAAAGACATATGTGTGCATATCATAACATATTTGTGTGTATATGTCAATGTGCTATAATGTGTTTAGTAATCATAGCATACATGCATGTGTATATCATAATGTGCATGTGTGTCGATATCATGTGTGCATATAACACGGTGTACGTGTGTGTGTCATACCGTGTGTTATAACACATGTGTGCACAACACAATATACGTGTGTGATATGTGTCATAATATGGTGCACGTGCATATCATGTGTGTGTGTGTAAAATTCCATATAGAAACAGGCAAAGGCCAACAAGGCAATGAAAACCATGGCTGTTTTCAATAATCAGAGGAAGGAGGGAAAGTGCCCTGCCACCCCAGATGTACGGCCGAAGTAGCCGCAGTGCCAGCCTGTCCACTTGGAAAGTGGCCCCCTGCTGGGGAACACTGAGCACTGCCAGTGAAGTCGCCCTCTGCCCCTCCCTGGGGAGCTGCCCCAGACTCTCCCGCGACCCCCGCTCTGCCATCTGGTCAGTCCCCAGGGTCCCCACAGCTCCTCTCTGGACGTGGTAGTTTTGATGTTCTTCTCACAACAGCCCTGCGACGTCCCTCTTAGATGCTAGGAGGCTGAATGTCACCCCAGTAGCAACGGCAGGCAGAGCCGGGGCTGAGCCTGAGCTTTCGGACAGGAAGAAGGACACGCAGGTGCACCTGCTGGGAGGGTGGCAGACAGCATGCAACACGGCCCCTGTGCTGTTAGAAGGCAGGCCGGGGGAGTGGCGGGTTCCTGGGGAAGCTCATGCCCAGTGGAGTGTGCAGCGGCCCAGCCACCGTCGAGACAGTGCACGACTCCCGGTAACGTAAGCACGGACTGACCCTGTGACCCAGCAGTACACTCAGAGGAATATGCCTAAGAGAGCTGCAAACAGCTTTTCACACAAAAACTTGGAAATGAACGTTTATTTCTGCACTATGCACAAGAGCCAAAGGGTGGAAACAACTCAAATGTCCATCAGCAGCAGACAACGGGCCAATAGAACGTGGTCTACCCACACGATGGAGTGCTATACAGCCATGAGAAAGGAACAAAACACTGGTGTGTCCCCATCAGGAAACCCCATGGATGAACCTTGACCATGTGCTGATCAGGAGAGGCCAGATGAAAAAGCTAAAACCGCAGGGTTCCGTTATGTGAAATATCCAGAACAGGCAGGTCCCAGAAGCAGAAACAGACAAAGTGGCCGCCCCAGCCTGGGGAGGGACGAATGGGCAGTGACTGTCAGTGGGCATGGGGGTTTTCCAGGAGGCGAAGAAACTTCTGGAATCAGGCAGTGGGGATAGGTGCACAGCTTTGTGAATATGCTAAAACCACTGTGGAGCGGTATACTTTCAAAGGGTGAGTTATATCTCTATTTTAAAGTTTTTAGGGGGGAAAAATGTCTAAAGATATTCTGGGGACAGGGAGAAGGACAATAATGAAATGAAAAGGTTGAGAACCCTTACCTAGAGCCTGCCCACAAGGAGCAGCAAACACACGTGCAGTATCAGGGATCTACAATCGCCTTCTTTTCCTTTTTTTCTCCAGAAAGTTCATGCACTCACAAGAGACAGAGACAGAGAGAGGAGGAGAGGGAAAAAGCCCCCTCTCCTCCATCTCACTAAGCCCATGGGGTCTGGCTCCCTTAACCGCCTAGCTCTGGCCAGGCCTAGATCTGTGAGGTCACTGAAGCCTTGTGCTAAGTCTGTTTCTGAATTCAGATGTTCTGGGATTTGGGAAAGGTCACGTGGTGCCCTCAAGCATCACAGTCCCAGCAAGGTTTGAGACGGCCCCACTTGACTGAAATTCAAACCTCCCCAAGGGAGCCAGCCTGCCTGGTGATGAAGGCAGCTGGATCCCCACGGCCAACCACATGGTTTGAGCCCGGTGCTCGGTGGTTGGAGAAACGAGCTGAGCGTGTGCGGGTGTGTGCCCAAAAGCCCAAAAGGCAGAGATGGAGAGGAAGGATGCAGGGTGGCCATTTTCCATGCGGGGTGATGTGCCCCCCACCACCAGGGAGCACGTGCACCCTCCAGCAAAAAACCCTCCCCAAGGAAACAGCTGTGCATGCATGCCGAGTGAGCCAAGTAAGGCCTCGCACCCCCACCGGCAGACGGCAGCCTCTGTGCCTGGGCCCTGCCCTGTGGCTAGTCCAGATAACCACGAGTCCTTGGTGTAAGACGCACCAGAGTTTGCAGACCTCATCCACAAAAGACGATGGAAAACAGAGTTTAAAAAATAGTCTCTTCTATATCGATTACATTGAAGATAGTATTTTCGATATACTGGGTTGGATGAAATAGGCCGCCACCACAGACCTCCCAGCCTCTCCCGCTGTGCGCCTGCCCACGTACCCGTGCGTGCTCGCAGCCAGCACTCTGCTTTATTTGATGCAGCAACCTGAAAACCTCGACGTGTGCACAAGGCCCAATGTCTACCCCTCCTGCATGCCCCCGAGGAAGTGTGCATCATTCAAGGTAGCCGTGCCCTCAAGTGAGTTCATTCCAAACTTATTTAAAACAAGGAATGGCCCCATAGCCCGGTGGTTCAAATCCCAGCCTCAGTAGCTTAAAAAACATACCAGGTGCATGCACATGCGTGCCCAAAACTCCAACAGGATGGAGACACAGAGGAGAAGGAATCGTGGCATGACTGTGCCCTCAGAGGGCACTTTCTTCCTCCCCCCAATCCCCTGTCTCTGGCAAGAACTCATGCCCTCAGGCAATTAAAAAATCCTTTATTTTTCAGGGCATTTGGGTTTCTGAGTTGCAGTCACAATTGCTAGATCAAAGATTTAGCCTGTGGGCCTGGAGAACCAGGGCGAGAAGAACAGAGTGGGTGCCTCTCCTGCCTGCAGCCAGGGGTCTCTGTGTCCAGGACCAGCCTGACCACTGGGCCCCCTCAGCATTAGCCTCCTGCAGCTGCCCCTCCCAGAGCCCTCTGCCCAAGTTGCCCAGGCTGCCTGGCCACTTCTCGGCAGTCCGTGGGCGGGGCGGGAGGGAGGGCGAGGAGGGGGGAGGAGGCGTGTGGCATGCCAGACCTGGTGAGAGCTCTGCGTGCTGAAGCGTGTGAGGTGTGACAGCCAGCTGAGCAGGCCAGCCATGTCCAGCCCAGGGCTGCTGCTCCTGCTCTTACTGCTGGCCCCACGGCCACTGCGGCCCTCCTTGCTGCCACGGCCGGACACTGCAGAGGGCAAGGCCACCCTGGCAGGCCTGATCCTGTCTGCGCTGGAGAGAGCCACCGTCTTCCTGGAGAAGAGGCTGCCCGAGATCAACCTGGACGGCGTGGTGGGCTTCCAGGTGCTGGAAGGTGGGTGAGCCCTTGGGCCCCTCAACGGGCCTCAGGAAAACCAGGTCTCAGCTTTGCCACCGGCTCTGCCCAGGGACCAGTGGCCTGTGGGGGTGCGGCAGCCAGCCTTCCTGGGTGTTTGGGCATTTTGGAAGTAGGGAGGACTGAAAGGTAAGGAGAGCCGTGAGCCGGCTTGGAAGTGACTGCTTGCTCTGGAGGAGGTGATCTTCGGCCCAGTCCCTCCCAGCTCCCATGGACTGGGGCAGAAAGGCAGCCTCTCAGTGGGCTTTTATGGGAGGGCCCCTCCCCTTGCATAAGGGCAGCTCCCCCAAAAACAAAGACCGTGGAGAGCATTCCAACCCCAGCTCCCTCCACTCCCAGCCAAAGCACCTGCCAGAAGTTTCTGAGAAAACAGCTGAGTGTTTGTTCAGCTTTGACAGACATAAGATCCCCAAGGGGGGGCTGGAGACAGGCCGAGGTGTGAGCGCACTCACACTCACACACCTGCACACACACGCACTCTCACACACATGCATGCGCACTCACACACACGCCTGCGCACACACATGCACTCACACATACGCACTCACACACGCCTGCACATATGCACACGCACACGCGCATGCACCCATGCACACTCACACACACCTGCGCACACACGTGCACTCACACGCACACACCTGCACACACGCGCTCTCACAACGTGTGCACACAGTCACACACGCCTGCACATACACACTCATACGCTCACACGTGCACACACTCACACGTGTGTGCACACACACCCGTGATGGCGCTGAGCCTCTCCCCGCAAGCCCTAACCAAAGTGACAAAGACCCAGATTGGTGTCAGCCTGGACGCGTGCCTGGCCCCAGCGTCCTGACCGCCCTCTCTTGGCTGGCACAGCCTCCTGCCCACCAGGGCTCTGGACCAGAGGCGGGGCTCTCGACAGTGCCACATGGCCCTGCTCCTCCAGGTGGCTTCACAGAGAGCCCACTCCCCTCCGGCAGGACTAGGACGAAGCAAGAGGTGCCCCAGTTTCCTTCATGTAGTCCCAGCCCATCTCATACTCCTCCAGAAATCGCCGTCCCCAAAACGCGGTGGCCGCCCCTTTGCTCTGCCCAGCCCGCTGTTGCTTTGACTGGGCCACTGCCGCCTCCCAGCAGCCATAGTCTGATGGTGCTTTGTGGTCAGGACTGGTGCTTCGGGGCCTTGACCCCACCGGTCCAAATCTCCCACTGAGGGTCCTCTCCTGGCTGCAGCCGATGTGCACGCAGCAGCTCGGACCTTCGAGTGGAAAGCTTGCTCGGCCTTAGGTGGTCAGAGCGGCAAGGTCTGTGGTGCAGGCTCCTTTCCTGCTGTCGTGGGTCCCCCACTGCCAGGATATGAGAGTAACTCACTGCGGTCAGTGCGGACGGCCTGCTGTGCCTTTGAGCAACGCCAGCACCGTGGACTTGCCCGCCCAGTGGCCCACCCGGTAGAACACGCCGTCTCCCCTCCAGTGCAGCTCACAGGCGTGCAGGAGGAGTGGGCCCGGGACCCCCTGCTGCAGCCGCTGGGCCTGCGCGCCGGGAGGCTGGCGGGGACGCTGGCGCTGCTGCTCCGCAGAGCCCTCTTCTACCTGAGGCTGAGCGACCCCAGGTACCTGAAAGGTAAGTGCACGGCAGAGGCCCCCTCCCAGGTGCAGCCCTGGGGGGTTCCCAGCATGGCTCCTCTGGGCATGAGGTGGCCAGGACTGCTGCACCAGCTGTGCCCAGCTACCCTGGGGCCTAGGCCAGCCTTGGCTTCAGGGGTGATGACGTCGGCTCCCCATGCAGAGGGGTGACAGGACTGACTACCACCCAAGCTGGGAGCTTCTTCCTAGGCCAGAGGCAAGGGCTCGGGCCTTGCAAGCACTTCTCGTGTGCCTCGTCGTGCTGAGAGCTGCCCGCACACCATCCTGAGCGCCCTGTAGAGGGCCCATGCTGTGAGCCTGGCCTGAGCTGTTCCCAGTGGGGTGGGGGACTGGGTCTCCCGGGCTCACAGCTCCTGTCAGACGTGCCGTGAGTGGGGAGACAAGCCCATGCCTCAGACCTTCCCAGATCAGGGGGCTTCTCTGTACTTGGGGCCTCTCCGGCCCTGGCCCCTAAGACCACCCCAGTGCATGCCACTCTGAGAGGCCGTTGAGGGGCATCTCCATCCTCCGATGTAATCCGCGGAGCCCACTGGCCCTCTTTGTATGTTCAAGCTCTCCAGGAGGGCCAGAGGCTGTAGTCTGAGCCAGTCACTGCTCCTGCCCTGCGGGGAAGAGTGTGGGGGTTAAGAAAAGGAGCGCCCTGGCTGCTTCCAGCCCAGTGCCCAGCCAGCAGGCGAGGGGTACAGCACCGAGCGGGCCCCTCGTGGGCAGGGGTGCTCACAGGGACACACAGTTCCTTGACCAGAGCCATGGGGGTGGGGAAGGGTGGGGGATTTCGGGGGCTCCAGCATCGTCCCACCTCTCCCTCTACCAGAGTTCCAGCCGGCCATCCAGCCAGGGCTCTGGAAGCTCCCCAAGACCTGGACCCGCACCAACGCCTCCCTGGTCTACCCCACCTTCGAGCCCGAGGACTCCTTCTCAGAGGAAAGCAGCGACTCCTGCCTGGCGCTCCTACTGGGGACTGGGTAGGCCCCGCCTCCCTGCTTGCCTGGAACCCCTGGCGCTGGCTCTGCCCGCCCTCTAGTCCCCTCTGAGCCCCCATAGCTGATGCAGAGGTTCCTGCCCCGAGCTGCAGGCTGCACCACTCCAGCTCTCTGCATCTGCCCTCACCTCCGCCCTGGCCCTCCACTCTCCCACGCAGGCTGGTCTCGCCACCAGAGTGGAACCTTTCAAAACCCAGATCCAAATACCCACTTGCCCCTGTCGAAGCCTCCTTTGCTTTCCATTGTTCAGCCCTCCCAGGCCCCCAGGCTCCTCCAACCTAGCCCCTGGGACTCTTCAGGCTCCTCAAGGCACCAGCTCCTCCCACTGCAAAGCCTCTGCCTCCCCCCACCCCCCACTCAGTAATCATGGGCTCTCAGGGTCAGCCCCCCACTGCAAAGCCTCTGCCTCCCCCCTCCCCCCACTCAGTAACCATGGGCTCTCAGGGTCAGCCCCAGTGGCCTAGAGCCATCCTGACCTGGGCACAGGGCAGCCCCCCGCACTCTCCCCACCTCTCCCAGCCACAGATGCACGTGCGTTTGTCCCATGGCCCAGTGTCCCAGCCGGGGCTGAGGTGGGGGAGGCAGGATGAGCCGGTTCCCTGCTGCTCATGGGCTGCAGTCACAACCTGGGGCAGCCCCAGGTGAAGGCCCTGCAAGGAGAACACGCATTCGGCGTGGGCCTCCTCACACCCAGCGGAGAGCCGCTCCAGCCAGCCTGCCGGCAGTTCATTATTCGGGGCAGTTAGGGAGTGGTGGGAAGTCCCAGCCCTGCTGACCTCCCTACCCAGAAAACTCCAGGCCATCACCCCACTAGTGAGGCAGCAAATCAAGACACAGGGCACCCGTATTTCATCTGGCAACCCCTGCATCCAGCAGGTGCCCAGAACCTGCCAGGGTTCTAACAACCAGGGAAGGGCGTCACCACCTGGAAAGACTCCGGGTGGGAAGGGGCTGCCCCTCGCCCCCCGGTCTGTTGGAAACACCCTAACAGCAGACCACTGCTCCCCAGGATGGACAGTGGCCAGCCCTGCGGGCTCTCGGACTTCTGCAGGACGCTCATGACCAAGCCCGGCTGCTCGGGCTACTGCCTGTCCCACCAGCTGCTCTTCTTCCTCTGGGCCAGGCTGGTGAGTGCCCCATGGGGAGGCCAGGAAAGGAGGGGGCGCCCCACACCATGGAAAGGAGAGACCTGCTGTCAGTTCCTGTCCCCCCCAGAGGTCCTCCACAGTCTGCTAAATGACAGAAAAGAACAGGTGTTGAATATCGAGGACAAGTTTCATATCAGCGTGCTCAGTTTCGCCTCATTTTTAAAAACAGAATGAACTTGGTGGGATTCAAAGATGTGAACCCCAAGGCTGCAGGAAGGGGAAGTTCCCAGCAAACCTGCACTGGCTTTCCCACTCAGGCGTCCTGGTGCACAGCGCCCTCCTGTGGCCAGCAGGCCTGGAGCTGAGGGGTGGATCTTCAGGATCAAGTGCAGGTCTGCTCTGGGGTCCTGGTAACTAAAGCCCGTGGGGGAAGAGCCCCTATCCCCACCACACCCCTGCCTCTACAGGCTTCAGTGCTCTTCCAAGCCCCCAAATAATGATAATAATGTTCAAATACACACACACATATGTACACACACGCACACGTATGTACACATACGAATATTTGAACAGAGAGAGATGCAGGGCTCATACTCACTGTTCAAAAGAGATTCTTCAGTGTCCAGAGATTCTCAATTGTTTTTAATCAATTGTCAGGGAGCACACACACTCGCAGAGAGACAGAAAGAGGCCCGCACACGTGATTTTTAAGTTACTTGGGCCAGGATTTGAACCTTGTCAGTCACACGGGGTCTAATTCCACCTAACTACTAGGCTACGGGACCAACTGCTTTTGTTTGACAGGGCTTTTCTGTTATTATGTTTTTTCTAAGCTGTAACAGACAAGTATTTTTATAAATGAAAGAGGAAGGGCAGGCAGGTGGCATGGTGATTAAGGTACTGGGCTCCCACATGGTCAACTGTGGTTCGAGTCCTGGACCTGGTGGCTTGCTCTCTCACTTTCCCTCTCTCTTGTTCTATCTCTCTCTGGTCAAATAAACTTTTAAAATGTAAAATAATAATGAAAGATAAATAATAATCATGAATAAAATAGTTATTTATTTAAATAGTTATTGAAATAAATAGTTATTAATAGGGAAGAAGAAGAAAGAGGAAACTTATTTTTTATTTGTGTCAATAGGTCGAAAGTTACTCTGACTTTCAATTGGCTTTCATTGCTACAGAAGTTTGTTTTTGTTTTTGTTTTTGTTTTAATTGCCAGAGGCACATGTGCTCTGGGCATGTCCAGAGAGAAAAGGTGCCCTCCCCTTGGGCCAGCCAGGTGGTGTAATGGTTAAAGCAGTTGGATCCCACATAGCTGATGGCACAGTTCAAGTCCCAGAGCTGGTGGCTTAAAAAAAAACATGCTGAGCACATGTGCACATGCCCAAAATTGCAAGTGGAGAGAAGGCACGACAGCATGGCCATCCTCCCTAGGGGTGCTTTCTCATTTTCTCTCTTTCTAGCAATACAAGTCCTACAGCAAAAAAACTAAAAACAACAAAACCAAAAAACAGTGGGCGTGGCTCCATCCTGCTCCATCTTGTTGGGATTTGGGGCACATCCCCTGGGGTCAGGTCAGGGGATGTCAGCCACGTGGGACCCACCTCCCTTAACCTCTAGGCTCCGGGCCGGCCCACCTCAGACGTCTCTGAAGCCTGTCCTCTGCTCCTGCTCGCCGCCCCGAGTAGGACGAAGTCTGGAGTAATCCAGACCAGAAGGCGGGGATGGCGACGCGTGGAGGCGGCGCGCCCCCTAGTGTCAGGAGTCATGTTGGACATGCCCAGCTGCTCGGTCCATCTGTGAGAGCCCCCCAGAGCCGGCCTTCAGGGCCTCGTCCTCTCCTGACTAGCAGAGCCAACTGGAGCCCATCTCTCTCTGAGCCCCAGTGAAGGAGCCCCACGCAGCCTGGCAGCCTGGGAGGAGAAAAGACCTGCCACCCGCCAGCCGGCTGAAGACCGCCTCAGACCTGCCAGTGTTTCCCCAAACCGTGTGCGTCTGGCGACTCCCTTCTGGTGTTTGTCCTCCAGATGGGATGCACGGAGGGACTTTTCCATCAGAGCCAGAGCTACATCGACCTTTACTGCGCCAACATGATGGACCTGAACCAGAGGGACGATGCCGTCGGATTTGTCTACCCCGCCCAGGACATCTTCATGGAAAACAGTGCGCTCCAGGCAGAGGGGTGGGGTGGCTGGGATCTGTGAGCTCAGGCACGTGTGTGCACACACCCAAATAAGGGCACCGGACTGAGCAAGTGCCATACCGCGTGCTCGGTCAGATTCGGACTTCAGGTAAACAGTGAATACAGGTTCGAGTGTAAGTATAGCCTACATACAGAAAGGGATACGCTACCCTAAAAACTGCACTCACTGTTCTCAAAACTCTGATGAAACTGGGCATCCTGTGTGAGCTTTCTGCCCAGAAGGCTGAGCCAGCGAGCGAGCTCTGGAAAGGCAGACTGACCAGCTGACTGGCAAACAGACCCTCGGAGCCTTAGAAAGGGGGCCGAAAGGGACCCGTAGGTGGCCGCTCCTTGGTGCAGGGGTCAGATCCTCCACTGACCCTGCCTTCTGAGCAGCCCTGACTGAGGCCCTGAGTGGGAGGGAGACACAGGCCTGGGAGCCCCTGATCACTAATGGGGAACCCCAGCTGCCTCCTTGTAGCCCCTGCTCTGAGTGGCCGCTCCTGGTGCCACCTCCCTCAGGACAGAGAGGCAGATGACATAGCAGGGCTCGGGAGGCAGGCTGAGGTGGCCTGGGTTGGGGGGCGGGCCTGCAGAGTGCCCTGTCTGTGCTTCCAGTCATGCTCTGTGGGATTGGTGGTTTCTCTGACTTCTACAAGCTCCGGTGGCTGGAGGCCATTCTGAACTGGCAGCTGCCCCAGGAAGGCTGCTTTGGAGGGCGTGGTGAGCTGTGCCCCCCTGGGCTGGGGTGGGGACTCAGGCCAGGGGGGTAAGGCCTGATGAGCTGTGTCCCACTGGGCCGGGAGGGATGGTGGCGGGGTGGTGGTGGTGGTGGTGAACTGTGTCCCCTGGGCTGGGAGGGGCGGGGCCCAGGCCAGGGGAGGAAAGGGTGCATTGGGGGCACTGAGTGGGACTGTATCATTCCTGTGCACATGCATGCACACGTGCACACACACACAGAGGTAGCAATGAACTCGGCACTTCGGAAACCAAAACTTCACACGATCCTGTTGGAAGGTGCTGGGCCCCGCACCTGCATTTGCGCATTGTTCATTCAAGGGGTCTCTACCGAGCACCTGCTTACATCCCAGACTGTCTAGGCTCAAGGGAAAAGCAGGGCCCCAAGGAAGGAGGCAGAGCCCCAGGGAAGGAGGCAGAGCCCCAGGGAAAGGGGTAGAACCACCCAAACAACCAATAGGTGAAAAAGCAGAAGTTCAGATAAGAGCTGGGAAGGAGGGGACCAGCAGTTAGCGTAATGGCTATGTCGCTGGACGCCCATGTAGTCGACCACAGTTCTAGTCCCGGACCCGGTGGCTTAAACTCACACCGCATTGGGCACGTGTGTGTGCGTGCCCAAGATCCAGAGAGGAGAATGTGGCGTGGCCATCCCCCTGGGGGGGATTTCTCGCTTTCTGTCTCTCTGTCTCTCTGGCGAGCACACACTCCCTATAGCAAAAATCTCTCTCAAAAAAAAATGAAATCAAATGGTCTGTTTTTATGAAGTCTATAAAATGGAGATTCTCAGTCCCTGGAGCTGTAGGGCATTTTTCACGAACGCCTCCAGTGGGCCTGATCTGGTTGTTGGGGAACCACGGTTTGAGAAGCCATCAGTAGTTGACAATTGTAGACCTTGTGGAGGGGTCTGCAGACACGTGAGGGCAGCATCGACTTGACAGGTAAACTGAGGCAGAGTGTGTAAAGCAAAGGGTTTGGCCCAGCCAAGGCGGAGGCTGCCGCCTGGGAGGACACAGGGTTGCCCGAGCACGCGCCCAGGTCTCGGTGGGCTTTACGAACACACGCGCCCAGGTCTTTAAAGGCAAAAATAGCAAGCAAGGTTTCTGGGGAGGAAGGGCTCGACCAGTTCGGGGATGTCACCTTAGCTACCAGGTGACATCAGTCTGCGGGACAGGCGGCCTCTGGGCAGGCAGATGTCTTCACAGGGCAGCCCGTGTCAGGCCGCGGTGGCCTTCGTGCAAGGCGTGGTCCTGGCACAGCCCCTTCCATAACGGACGGCTGTCATTATCCGGCGGGCTCCACGGGAAACTGCCCCGCAGGCTTCCAGCTCGGCTTGGTCAGGGTCAAACACAAGTTGACACAAATGGCTCCATTTTGATTTTGCCGACTTTGACAAACGCAACTTCTGGGGTGGGTGGGCTCAAGGCTTGCAAGCAGATCGGAGTTGTAGAGGGTGGGGAGGGTGAGGCTGAGCAGGAAGCACCTCCGGCTGCTCTGAGCAGCTCGCCTTCCTTCTCCTCCAGGTGCTGACGGTGCAGCTAAAGACGTTAGACACCAAGAGCATCTTTCGAGAAGAGTGAAGAGGCGAGAAAAACAATTTGCAGGTAAAGGAAACCTCATGGGATGGAGGCAGGTCACAGGTGGGGCTTCTCTGATCACCTCCTGTTGGGAAGTGGGGAGCTCCAAGGAGGTATGCCTCCAGTTACAGGAACTCAGAGAAGGGGGGTGGAGAAGGGAGAAGGCACCATCCCCTAATGGGGCGTGGTGACACCAGTCCCTCCACTTCATCCTGTTGGCCTTTTGGGCATGACACACAAGCACCTGGTGCGTATCTCAAGCCACGGGGCAGGGCTTGCAGCCGGCCATGCAGCCCCAGCTCCGGTAGCCAGCGTGCTGCGGCGCCAGCCCGGCTCTGTCGGAGGAAGCTATCTGGGAGCGAGGGGCTCCACCAGCGCTGCAGGGCCTTCAGCAGCACAGCCGCTGGTGGGGCGCCCGTCCAGCACAGGGGTCCCTGCAAGGTGGCTGGGTGATCTCGGAAAGCACTCAGGACGGGCCGGTGTGGGATGGAGGCCGACAGTGCCGCCACCCCGCACCCACAGGGGCTCTCTCTCCCCAGATGGCTGCTCCTCCCACAAAACAGCCATGGCAGTGGCAGCCCTGGGCGGCTTCCTCTATGTCCTGGCTGCGTACCCGGCCGCCACAGGAGAGCCACTCCCGCCTACCCCGTCTCCATCTCCGCCGGGCAGCTCCTGAGCTGCACACCTGCTGCCGAGGGATGGACAGACCCCTGGGAGGTGGGGGGGCCTGGGCCGCATGCTGAGG